TTGCCCCCCTCAGAAGTGGGGGAGGGCTCGTCTTTTGGCAAAAATCCATCTGCCCTGTGCAGTGCCAGTCAAATTACCTGAAGATTTTGCTGCTGCTCTTTCCTGCTCCCTGCCAGTTTGTTCTGGAAAGCTGGTTTGCTGAAAGATTGTTCCTTGCAGCACAGCTTAACTTTCCAGGCAGTCCTTGGAGAATGCTGCTCCTGGGCTGCTGGTAATACTTGTTCCAACAAGTTCCTTCTGCTCTATCTAATCCTTAACAGCTTTTGTTGTATGTGCCTGCATGTCTTGGTAAACTTGTACATTGCCTCAGTCTTTGATTTTTAGGGAGCTGGGATTTTCTTCTGGGATCCATTGAAAGATTACAGAAAGGAAAATGTTATTCCTAAGATACAGCTCCCCGTCTGCCAAGCTTGACATCTCTGCTCACATGTGCCTTCTGGAAGGGAATTGCTTGGGAAATGTTTTAGCTCTCTGGCTCTGGAGCAGTTGTTTACTTGCTGGAGCATAACTCTGCAAAATCTCTGCAATGGAGACTTTTTCCCGAAGCCTTTGGAGCCAAGTGGCCCGGTGAGTGCTGAGACAGGCACTGATCAATGCAGCAGGTGGGGCATTCCTCCCTTGCAGCCTCCCAAGAATGCCATGGCAAATGATAATTCAGCACAATTACAGGTCTGGCTTTGGAACACGGCCCTGTGCTGAGATGTGACCGTGTTCTTTGTGTGCCTTGGAGGCAGTGAGACTGTGTTACAGGCAGCTGCAGCAAATGCATTTTTTGGTTGTTGTTTGCTTGTTTCTGTCACTCATTCTTGAGATACTTTTTGTTAAGAAATCTGGTGCCTCCGTGGTTTGTAGTAGAAACTTGGTGTTTCCCAGGAGAATGTCCCTGGAGCTAGGGAGCAGTGACTGAAAATCCAGACAAATGTGGGCAAGCACAAGATTTTCAAGGATAGGTACCATTTCTTGTGTCCTTCTCAGCGTAGCTCGTGCTTGGCCCCCTGAGCACTCTGCTAGGGCAGTTCATGCACCACTGCTGCATGGACAAGCTCCTCCAGGCTTGACCTCCACAAGAGCCACCTCCTGCTCCTGTCACATCAGTGCTTAAAAGAAAGTACCTCACAGGAGGGTGAGTTTAAGCTGCTTTTTAGTGTGAGGAACCTTAAAGTCTGAATGAACCATCCTGAATGTTCTGACCTGCTCTGAGTGAAACTCCAGTTTTTTGGTAGATAAGTTTGGTCTTTCTTACAAAGCCATGTAGTCCCCTGGAAAGGCTGTCACTGGCATTCTGTCTGCTTCAGGACCCACTTGTGTGTTTTCCACAGTATCTCAGTGTCTGTGGCAGTTACCCAGAAGGCTGACCGGGCAGGATAATTGCTTGGTTGTGCCACCAGCTCCTGTGGCTCATGGCTCATCCTGAGACCAAAGCACTGGTCAGTGCTGGGCTGGGTCCACAGCAGCACTGACACTGGTGTGGGGGCAGGCCTGGTACAATGGCAAGGAGTGTTCCTGCCCTTTAAGTAGATCTAGGAGATTTTATCAAAGAAGGTTTAATGTGGTAACTGAGAATTAGGAGATGGTTTGTACATGCTGCTAGCCACGCTTCTGTGTCTGGTCTGTATACCCGAGCTTGTACACAGCTAGTGAGTGATCTACCCTTCAATGTACAAAAATATCTGTAGCCAAACTTCAGTTTTTTGTGTAATATCTGTAATTAATTTCAGAATGGTTTTGTCTGAATGTGGTTTACAGGAATCATCTTCGATCTGTGACGGATTGGAGACACAGACTGGCATGTTTTTGCACCCCAATACTTAACATACAGCCTTAAGAACTTCTATGATACCTGAATAAACAGCACTAACCACCCCTAACTAGTTGTTGAAGAGGTCCCTAAGGATTTGAAGGATTCCTCTTCCTTCGGATCATGCTTGTTTATGGTCACAGGTGTTGCAGAGCCAAGGCCTTGTGTGGATTGCAGGTGCTCAGGCCAACTGGGATCCTCCCACACTGCTGAAGTTGAGCATCTGAAAAGTTCATGTCATCGATATGTTTCTGGTTTGAGTTGCTTAACATGGAGAAAGAAATACGTCAGGGTTGCCTGGGTGACTGAACTCTGTCATTTCCTCTGCTGTCAGGTTTGACCTGGAGTTCTGTGATTATTTTAGCGTAACTGATTTGTTTCTCACTTTCTCAGTGAGGTTTGAGGGTGCCCTGTGTATGCTGGGTGTATTAAATCATTCTAGCAGATGCCTTTTTGTGCTGGAGAGTGTGTGACACCCAAATGTGATTCCCCTGTGCTGTCTCCCAGCACCCAGCCCGGTAGGTGCGTCGGTTCAGTTGTGTTTTGGGACTCTCTGGACTTGAGTTTCCAGTAGGCTTGAGCTTGAGCTCAGTTGTGCAGGTGTGTTATGGCTCTGGGTGCTGTGGCTGTGGAGTGAGCTGCTTCCAGACTCTGCAGGAGAGGTGCAAAAGTGAATGCAAAATTCAGGCATTGCAGTTTTGACAGCAGTTCACCCCAACGTAAGAAGTGTTTGGGTTTCATCCTCTGCCTCCAGCCATACGTTCTCTTCTCTTCTTGGTTTTTGATGCTTGACCCTCACAGTGAGGCAGTTCCAAAACCAGGCAGAGATAAAAGAGGCAGGAAAAGTAATTTTCAAGGAAGGATGGGGCTGTTTTTTGGTTGAGTTGACAGTGAACCAGCTCGTAGGGTCACAGATGCTTGTGCTATGGGAGGAGGAGAGTCTGAAGATGAGGAAGGAAGGAGTGGTACAGCAATTATCTGTTTCTCCAGCTATTAGCCATTGTGTCAGTTTTGCAGCAACATGTAAAAGCCCTTTGAGACTGTTTCATAAAAGGTACCAGGCTTTGTATATCTGTGTTTGTGTGAGTCCTAGTCTTTCTCCAACATGTCTTATTTCAAGCTACTTTTCATCCAAAAAACTAGAAAACTAGTTACTAAAATTGTCACTTATGATACCCAAGGTGGTGCTAGTTTTCTCGAGGTTTCAGTGTGAAATGCTTGCACCAGTGCAGTGTGCTTTTGCTGACACAGGAATTAAAACCTGGCTATAGCCATGCCTGAGAAGAAAATGGAATATAGTTAGTTGTGAAATCCTGTACCTATCGGTTTAAAGTTCCATTTTAGTACATGGAGCTAAAAACGGGTGGTTGTGAGGCTCAGAGTGTGTACTGTGTGTGCAAGCTACTGAGTCATTCCTGACAGGACTGAGTGTCAAGAGTTCACAGGTTACTTTCAGGAGAATAAATGAAGAATTAGTGACAAACTAGTGGTTCTTTCTGCTGCAGCAGAACACGTTCAAAGTCATGCACATCTACCTGGGAAAAGCAGGGGGATTCTTTGGAAATTAAAGCAGCAGCCTTCCAGGAGACAGGGTACCAATCTGAATTACTTTTTTTCAAGACTCAAAGGAGAAGAAAGCTTTACTCGGAGAAGATGCCAGGCAGGAGTGTTGTATATCTGTTATTGTGAACAACTCAAATAATAAAACCATGTAAGAAGCATTGACTGACACATGTTCTGTCAGGCCCTGGCTCTGCAGTAACCCTTGGGGTGCTCTCCAAGTAAAAAGCATTTGTATCCTTTGATTCTGATCACAACAAGCAGCCACTCTTCTTCAAGTCCTCAACAGCCAGAGGATAAAATGAAAGCTAATGCAGAACAATTCTCACATCTTCTCTCTCCGTGGAAACTTTCCACTTTGCCTGTATTGTTTATCTACATCTGCTTTGTTCTGGGACAGTACTTCTGGTGAGGTGGCCAAAATTAGCATGGTGAGGACTTGTCTGAGAGGAAAAGGGTGGGGAGAGGGAAAGCAGTAGGCAGGAAAGAACTAGTGTTGAGAGGTAGTGGGAAAGGATGATAAAAGCACAGTTAACTTCTTTCAGAATTAAGAGAACATGCATGAAAGCTGCATATATACCTTTAGTTTGTATGAAAAAGGTGTTGCTCTTGGACTGCTGTTACGCTACCAGTGTAGCCCCTTTTAATGATGTGTAATCTGACCATCTGAACAAATTAAATGCAATTATCAAACAGACAAATGCAGGACACAGACCTCAAGGGGAGTTTATGGAGGATCTGCTCAAACAATGAGGTTATTGCTTGCTGATTCTGAAATGCTGGGGATTTTATCAGTTGCCAGGTGAAAATTCAGTTTGATGGTGGTGTTACAGATATCTTACCTTGCAGCTTCCAGCAAAGCTAAACCAAAAGAAGGGAGTTGGGGGAGGCGAGGAATGTGTGCCTTGCCAAAAGGAAAGATGGGAGAGGCTAAAACTGGCCTGTACAGCGTGGGAGCGCCCTGTCTGCTGCACATCTTACCCCACTAGAAACACACACAGAGGAAAGCGTTCTGCCTTCTTGCAGTGAGGCCAGCAGGCTCCAGGATTACTAGGACTCTTGTTCCACAAAGTTTCTCTCTTGTTTCTCAGGTTCTGGGATGAAGATGGTAATGGGCATACTGAATTAGAGGTGTTTTGCCATTTCTCCTCAGCCAGTCTGTTTGATTCACTGCTGTGCTGTGCTCGAATCCGTCTGAAAGCTAGCTGTGTGAAAACTAAAAACTTGAGCTGGGCTTATGCTGCCTGACGGGGTTGGCAGAAGGGTGGGAGTAGCATTAGCTCAAGTTCAGTCAGGCTCATGTTGAAGTTGCAAGCTGTATTTGGGAATTTGCTTGCTTGCTTGCTCTGTGTTATACTTAGTTTTTGAAGATTCTGTGTGGTCTTGAAAAGTTCTTTTGTATTAGTATTTTGCTAGTTGGAAGCTGCTAGTTGTCATGGTAGTTTCACCCTTGGTGCTCCAGTGAGGCATGGCACTGCTTGCTAGTGCTGTCAAGCATGTTCAAGCAGAAATAGCAGGTTTTTATGGGCAGGTCTTTGTTATAACTTCTCTGTAGACTGTCTGAATGCATTTATGCTTGTGAGGTTTCTAGGTGTGTCAACTGTCAGGTTCTCATATTTATTTATTTATTTTTCAGAACTCCATTAGACATAACTTGTCCCTGCACAGCAAGTTCATTAAAGTCCATAATGAAGCCACAGGGAAGAGCTCTTGGTGGATGCTCAATCCTGAGGGTGGTAAAAGTGGAAAAGCACCAAGAAGAAGAGCTGCCTCCATGGACAACAGCAGCAAACTCGCAAAGGTCAGAGGTAAAGCATCCAAAAAGAAGCCTCCTCTCCAGTCTGCTCCAGAATCCACTGCTGACAGTCCTGGCTCCCAATTCCCTAAGTGGCCTGGGAGCCCGTCTTCAAGAAGCAATGAGGACTCTGATGTGTGGAACACCTTCCGGCCTCGAACCAGTTCCAATGCAAGCACCATTAGTGCCAGGCTTTCTCCTATCCTGACGGAGCAGGATGACCTTCATGATGAAGAGTTGCTTCCTTCTCTAGTGTACTCCAGTGCATCCAGCAATGTTCCACCAACTGTGACTGAGGAGCTTGAGCTCATTGATGGGTTAAATTTGATGTCTCCCAGCTCATCTGTGTTATCTACCCAGCAATCTGCCTCCAGTGGTCAGATCCAGAGAGATTCCAGCTTTTCCTTGCGGAGCCCAAATGCGGCTGGTCAGACGACTACTTTTGGCAATTCCCTGTTTAACCCTGTTGATATCTCGCTGCAAAGTTCTGTCAGCCATTTCTCTGGCCCTCAGACCTTGGAAGCTCTTCTGACACCCAGCTCTCCGCCTCCAAGGGATGTTATGATGACTCAGGTGGATCCAGTTCTCCCACAGACTGGTAACAGGATGAGCAGCCGAACTCTTCTGCTTCTAGGTGGACAAGCTGCCCAGAGTAAGTTGAGCTCAGGCAATGCACGAGGGAAGCCTACAGAGCAGCAGGCAGAACCAGTCGGTGCCAGCGTTTTGCCATCAACACTTCCCTTAGTAACATCCCCTCAAAACACTGCCAGCATCACCAGTGTGAAGGCTCCAGTTTCTGCAACAACTGCCCAGCCGGTTCAGCTGGGAAGTCCACTGCTTCTTTCTTCTGGTAGCCCTGCTCCCTTGGGATTGAGCCAGGACAGGCTGCCCACTGACCTAGACATTGACATGTACATGGAGAACCTTGAATGTGATATGGATTACATAATCAACAGTGAACTCATGGATGGAGAAGGACTGGACTTCAATTTTGAACCCATTCTGTCTACTCCCAGCTATCCCAGCACCTCACAGGCCTCCAACCATACCTGGGTACCAAGTTAACTTCAGGAGCACAAAAAGGTGGGTGTGGTTACGTACAATGCTACAGCCCTGTCTGGGATGGTTCCTGTGCCCACCTCTTTGTGGGTGCAGATACCTCTTTGTAAGTGTAGATACTCTGTGAGTAAAAAGCTTCTGGGAGAGCCACGTTCCCTTTTAGAAGGAGAAAAAGCTGTGTAAAAGTGGGTGGATTTAACGTACCAGGTAGTAAACTCCTTTATGGAGCAGAGCAGCATGAGTGGAACTCCTGTTGTCTCTCATTACCAAAGATGACTGCATTGCAGGACGTTGGTCTCTGCCATGCAATGCCTATAGCTCTGAAGTTGACATGAGAATATGTATATGCTAATTCCATAAATGAAGACATGATCCTGTACATACAGAACACTTGAACTGAGCCAAGCACACGCTGTATTTCTATCTGTATTATTATGATCCTTGCAAAATTCTCTAGTATGTGTAGCTGCAAAGCGTGTCTGTGTCACGCCTGCCTGCTCTCCCGTGTGTAGCAGGACACAATCACTCTCAGCTATCAGACCTGCCCTTAGCTGGGATAGTGTGTGTAAAGGCTGGTAAGCTGGTTCATCAGCATTAACTACTGAATTGCTTCTGTACCCATTCCTGGAACAGGATTTGGGAGCATGCGGTGTGGATGGAGGTGGAAGGAGGAAGGATGTGTTAGTGCTGTCACACACACAGCAAAGCTGCCTCTTCAGTGAGCTTTCACATTTGCACAGAACTTTATAGAGTCAGTTTGGCAAATAGTGTATGTGAGGATAAGAGTTAAAATAATCTTATTCTCTGAGGATGTGACAGCCTGATTTGAAGGTCTTTAACCACTGAGGCAGTTGAAGAATTAGAGGAATGGAGCTGAAGACTTACTTCACAGTTGGAGCTCAGTTAGCTAACAGAAAATGGACAGTTTCTTTTATGGACTCAAGTTTCTTAGAAAGGGGGAACAGGGTGCATGTGGAGAGAAATGGGAGTGTTCCTGGAGGCCAGAAGGGACCCTGAGAAGAGGAGGCAGAATGTTTTCTCAAACTTACAAGTTCCAAAACCAAGTGAGCTGCAGACATCAGTGTCTGTGAGGAGGTCAAGACTGTGTCATCTCTCCCGTCTCTGAATCTGTCACTGCAGTGAGTTATTAGAGTTCCTGTCTGGCAATCACCGTGCAGGGAAAGCATGGCTGCCACTATATATTGTTCCAGCGTGCCAGGGTTTTTTCCTTTCATATCCTCTCTGTGTTTTTTCCATGTTAAATTCACATTGGCAAAAGCTGCTCTAAGTGATCACTAACCTAAAGCTGTCCTTCTGAGTAGTTACTGTGGATTTAACCTGTAGCCTTCCGGGTCAGTTATGAGTGTAACTCTGAGACAAAGCTGTTTATCAATAAATCACTCTGATTTGAACAGCCAGAATGAAACTGGAGCTGGGTAAATATTTCTCCTTGTAGGCAAGGGAAGATCTTTAGGAATAAGTGCTTAGTCTCTCTGCAGCACTTGGGAGGACACAGGGTAGCTGATGTTACCCATGGTGCTCAAAGCTGACATGACTTTATCCCCTTCTTGCAAGTTAAGAGCTTGCCCACAGCTTCCCCAGGAGTCTGCTTGAACCCTGTGCTCTTTACTTGGAGATTAGAGATCAAACACTGAAACTGTGCCTCTGTTGCAATGCAACACCCACAAACCTAGCTAGTAGCCAACAGAGGAAGAAAGTCAGCGTGTGAGTACTTTCCTTGACTAGGAAAAATATAAATTGTACAATTCCCGCTGCTGTTGTCTGGTAGGTGCAGCTCACTGAGCTGGAAGCCTGCCACTCGCTGGCTGAGGCACTGGATGTGCAAGCCCTGCAGAGTGACTTACGGGAGCCTCAGTGAGCGAGGTCATGGACGAAGGGCAGCCGTAGCTGGAATCAGACTGTGGCATTGCAGGTGCTCAATCACAGGCAACCATGCTGCCTTCAGCACTTCATACAAGAGTCCTTCATTCCGGCTGTGGGAAGTGTGGGTGGCCACCTGGCTCTCTCTGAGCAACTCAGGGACTTTGGGCTTGCTCATCTATCTCTGTGTTATGTATTTCTGCAAGCCAGTAGGAGGGATACCTGGGAATAGAATTGCCTTTCGTACAGTGGTACAGTTTGTGGCTCATTGATGAGTGTAAAGTCCGTCCAGTCTTCTGGTGGATGTTAGTTAATGATCTTGAGTTATTCAGTTAGACTCCCCATAGCTTCATAGCCTGGAGAACTCTATCACTTGCCCAGCTTGGTCTGGACTCATGGTTTTCTTGCTGTGCTCGATCTAATTCCCTTTGGTCCAAACACTGTATTTTTGTCCACCAGAACATTAATCAATAAAACACCCATCAACTTGCAATTTCCCAAAATAGCCTGTTGCTCTGACTTCTGTTTTAAGTTACTGGCTTTTCTTGTTTAGAGCTCATTCCCTCTTGTGGTTTCTTTCCCTTTTGACAAGTTTATTTCATGCTTACTACTACTGAATGCAACTGGTTGGATGTCCTGCATTTATCTTGCTCTTCTTCCTTCCAAAGTGGATCATAGACCTACAGTGGAGGTTTTATGTTAATGTCTTAAGTCTGCTTAGACCTATTCCAAGGCTTGTTTGAACGACTTGTGGAAGCTTCGTTGAGGTGAGGCAGAAGACCTGAGAAGGGATCTTTAGACTTGCAGGGGAATGAGATATCTATAAATGTTTCATCATTTGTAGGTAGATACAGGATTTCTTTAGTGGATGAGCATGATCAGTTTCAGTGTGTGATCTCTAGAATCCCTTTTCTTAGTCTTTTCCCTAACAACTGATATTTCTGGTTGCTTAAAGTGAAGAGTAATTTTCTTCTTCCTTGCTGCTTTCCTGCAATGCCTCTGCTGTTAGCAGAGTCCTTCTTTAAACCTCCTTACCTTGAAGAGCTTTTTTGGTGCCATCAGCTTACAGGAGGAGTGCTAACTTTTTACCTTTGTGCTTGTGTTTTGTCTTCCTGTCTCAATCGTACTCTGAAGCTTGGAGCTGAGCAGTTGCATCCTCCACTTGACTCTCCACTGATCGAGGTCTCTTGTGATCTGTGTTTGTTCCTTGCTGGAAATTAGCAAGCTTTGAGCAGCAGGGGGCTGATTGATAGTAATTAACTCCTTATCTATGTATCCAGGATTCCCACTGAAGCTGAGATCTAACCATTCACTCTGTTTTTCTTCTTCCTAGTGTCCTTCAGGTTTTGAACATCGGGTTCTGACTTCACTTCCCACCCCTGGCAGAGAAAAGAATGGAGCACATTGGATTTGGTTTCCCTGCACACCACGCCTCGGGCAGAAGGGGCTGCCCACCTGGGAGGAAGGGGCAACCCGCATCTGGCTGCAACAGGAAGAGTTTAAAGATAATAATCCTGTTATGTGCAACGGCTCTTCCTACAAACCTGACCCTGCCTTGGACCAGCTGGAGAAACCCTGGGCTGTACATGTCCAAAGAGGAGCCCTGGTAAAAACCTCGGCCAGAAGACTCTGTGCCAGGCAATAGCATTTTCCCATGTGAAGAGTTGTGTTTGCTGGAGGAATCTCTCAATGTCTGTCCTCTCTCTGCTATGGCAGAAAGTCTCCCAGTGCCTCAGACTCGTGGAGGGCTGGCTCTGCTCTCAACTCGGTTTGCCCTCTGGGGCAAAGTAGTTGGACGTTTTCATTAAGCCACCAGATGTGCACTTGGTATCCCACAGACTTGCAGAGGAGTTGGAAGGAGCTTGTTGGTGGAATCCCTGTGGGAAAAGGGTGTGCTATTTCAGGGGTTGGTTTCAGTGTGCCCATCTCCAGAGCAGCCATCATCGTTCTGCAGGGAAGGGTGGTGGTCATGGTGTAGAAGGCTTCCTCTTGTCCACCTGAGTGGAACAGGAGGACATTGAGTTTTTCACTGTGCCAACTGAGCCCCATTAAATCAGAAGCATGTTTCGAGAAGTCCCTTTGCTGTTCTCAGCACTTTCCTGATACACCAGGCTGCTGTAAAATAAGCACAGGTGCTAATAGCTGTTTCTGGGACAGAAAAACATCATTTTGAGTTTGTTTCAGATCTGTCTTTCTACAGCAGAGAAATGGAAAGCCTGGGTGTGGCCTTAACAGAGCCCTGGTTGCTTTTCAGAAGGGCATTTTCTATAGATGAAATATTTTTTTACTAATCTGGGAACTTTCTACAGTGAATATAAAGCCAATGTTAAGTGTGTCCCCTCCCATTAGGCGTATTAGGCATCTCTCCCTCTGAGAAGGTACCAGTGACAGACTTCTTTTTCAGAGCTATATTAGGAACAAACACGTTTGATAATGTATATGATTGAGGGGAAAGAATTGGCAGGTCCCTGTGGTTTCAAACCACCTTGGGGAAGAGTTGTACGTTATTGTAATCTATATGTAAAAGTAGCTGCAAATTACATAGAAGCTTTTCTAAACATTTTTAAATATATATTATATATTTTAATTGAAAATGAGATTATTGGATTAAAAAAAAAAACTCAACACATTTGCTGCATCTGTCCCCTTGATACTAGGTAACACTACAGTATGGGAGGGGACAGGCCTAAGGCATTTTGGGCCAAGAAGCTGAGAATGTTAATGGAAAAGCGGGAAGGGCATCAGCGTGTAACTGGGGAGGAGCTGCGCTCCCCAGAGCAGGCGGAAGGTGCCGGGGTGGCATGGCACTCGGCCACAGCTACTCAGTCTCTTTCTTCAACAGGGCCCTCCCACCAAGCCAAGGGCATGATGTTAGGGAATGCTCATCATTAACAGCGTGCTCCTTCTCAGCTCATCCCTTCAGTAGGTGAGCTGCAGCTGATAGGACAGATTCCTAGTTGGCTGAGAAGATGGTGTGGACTGGATCGTGCTAGATCTGCTGACGCCCTGGGTAGCCCTTATGGAGGGCACAATCAGTTGTATTTGGTAGTTCACTTTGGTTTCCAAAGAGTTTTGTTTTTTTCTTGATGAAGTTTTTGCCACTGCTGGGGATCTTGAAGCCTGTA